ATGCAGGTCTATGGGTTCTTCCAAAGGGAGGCGTGGAGAAGGGAGAAAAAGGCAGAGCAGCTGCGATCAGAGAGATGTGGGAAGAAGGTTCGTCCCGCGACGGTCCGCTGTTCACATGGAGCCAAGTGACTCGAATCCCGAGCTGACGTGAAGCATAACCCGCACCCTCCTCAAAGCTGGACTGCTACCTCATCCTACACAGCCTGCATCGCTGCTCCAAGCCCAGACCGTATTCGACCTGAAAGCGCACAAGAAATCTCCCGTCTCCGATCCCAACTCCTCCAATTTCGTTCCTCGCGCAATCTACGAATCGCACGAGGTCTTGATCGATGGCGTTTCAGGCGTGCTGGATGATTGGCCGGAGAAGCGGGAGAGAAAACGCGTGTGGGTGGCGAGGAACAAGGCGTTGGATCTATTGAGGTGGAGGCAAGATTGCAGACACTTGTTGGAAGTGGCAGAGCTGAAGGCTGCCGATTCACACGAGACAGGTACGCGGTCTTGAAAGATGCAACGCAGCAGATGCACGGTCGCAACGATTGTCTCCTGATGTGATTCACACTCGGCGCGATTTGGCATCGCCCGGCATCTTCCAAACACCGCAAGTGCGCCCATGCTGATCTTGGGGCAAGACGCTTGCTCGCACAAGCCCGACTTTGAGACCGCCGCTCCTTGCAGAATAGCGAAGGAGGTCTTATACCCACAGCTGAAAGGGAGAGACTGCTCGCTCATCAACAGGCAATGTCATCCTCGTCGCGCACTGCAGCGGAGGCACTTGCCAGCGTCATCTTCGAGCTCGTTGACCCCTCACACAAATAATCACACTTTGTTGAAGTTTCCCCGGGCAAATTTCGGACCACCAGAGCGTAAAAAGCTAAAGGCTTCTGCGGGCCTACAACGGGCGCGGCCAGAAAGGCTCCGTGATTCATGTCGGCCGGCGCTTGCTGCCCAGCACAAACGAAGAGATCTTCATGAGGTCCTTCGGCATCTTGTGCAAACCCATCGTCTTCTTCTTCTTCTTCTTCTTCTTCCAATGAAGCTTCTTCTCGCTGTCATTCCCCAATCTCTTGCAAGGCAACGATGTCCTCTGCTCGAGCGCTGTCGGTTGCTGCTGGCCGGGGGACGGCTGCTGCCGCTGCTGCTGCTGCTGTGAGGCAGCACTCCACATCTCCTCGTGCTCCGGCTCCAGCTCTGGCTTTAGCAGCAGTCTGATCCGCGGTCTTTTCTTCGACTTGCGCGGGTAGATTGCCCGAGCAGTGAATGCAAACCTCAGTCCTCCTGCCCCGCTACTCCCAGTCGCCGACAAAGGCTCGACAGCGTGTCTGTACGCACAAGACAAAAGGAACACTAAAGTCAGCGAATTTGAGCTTGAACGTGCTCTGAGTGGTTTAAGCGTTCCCGCACTCACTCCACAAATTTCTGCAAGCGGTGGCCTTCTTGTATGCAGACGCTCCCATGTTTGAGCGGCACGCTGAGCAGTACACGGTTGTGCTGGCTTATCTGAGGCATCTCAGACATGGCGCACTCTGCCTCGACCATCGCCTCGAGACACTGTTCTGCGTCGATTTCGGGTTCAGAGCGAGCATTCAACAAGGCATCTTGAGCCACGCTTTCCATATCCAACGTTGTGTGCCATTCTGTGAAATC